ATTTGCTTTTGAGACCCTGGTCTCTCTCGCGTACACACTTCACCCCGGTTTAGCTATCGATCTTTTGAGGTGCGGGTGTGTGGCCACTAAATGTTGTGACTGACCAGAAAACCAAGCTAAGTCATTACGCGTATGTTCAAATTTATTTAAATAGCAGGAATCGAGAACAAAATCATCAGGCCGGATACTCCAGTAAGGAGACCAACATATCAAAGGATTAAATATGAGATTAATGATAAAACTTTAATTGTTTTTGCGGAGGCTGCTGTCGTTGTTAATCTTTCAGTTGCATTGTGTCTTCCTTTAAAGAAAATATGACATTAAAAAGACATGTTCGCTCTTTCTCTTCCCATTCATTACCTAATCTTGATTTCCTCTTAGTCCCTCCTGTAAGGGACAAAAATTATGTATTCTAAAAGAAAGGAGCTATTAGGACTAAGAAAACAAAATTATTAATTGTTCTGTTTGCATGCAAGTCCATCCACAGATTCCTCCCTCCTCATCCTCCCCGCCCGCCCCCTTTCAGACACTAATATTTGAAATCAATTTACTTATCTTTTCGAAATTTTGTAATTATGACCGCCATCATGCTCTGAGGCATCTTCCCCTTTTTACAATGTATTTTATACAACCATTTTTTCAAAATAAAATGAAAAATGCTCTATATGCCACCAAAGGTTTCATTGGGCATTTTTGAGGGTAAGTGGGTGGGACTGTCTCTCTTTTATTAACCTTGTTGGTTCCTCCTCATTTGATAGTAAATCAGCAACTAAAGGTTTGAGCCATTTTATTTATTATCAGAAATCACATAATAATACATTCAATTTATTATTATCCTTATCATCATCATCATCATCATAATTATTGTGAAACAACTTTTTACATGACTATAATAAAGCTGGGTAAAACGTGCTATGACAGACAGTTGCATAGGTTCTACATTTAATAGCTTGAGGTAAGAAACATTACATATGGACTATATTGCAAATGATGGATTTTAACAACAGGAGGAAAACTAGGCTAGAAATTTACAAGCAAGGAACCGAGCCACGGACATCAGGGACTAAAACACAAGACGAACAGAATTCACACAGAATAATACTTTGATGCAATCTGGAAGAGGATATTGCATATATTTCGGCTTCTTCATTCGTTGTTCCCCAACCCTTTTCTTTCTTAATATTTTTCACTTCTGTCCCTCCCCCTCTTTTTTTTAATCACTGTCTGAGCATTGCCTCACGTTTACCATAAAATACCAAGGAGACAATGCTCGGGAATCTTGCTGGTGGGTGGTGGCCTTTCAAAGCTCCATAGCCCCCACTCTTCACTGCAGATGGAAATTGCTCTCAGCACCTAAAAGACTAGCAGGATAGGCTCTTTTTCCCATCCTTTCTCTCTCTCTCTCTCTCTCTCTCTCTCATTCACCCATTCATTCTCTTTCCCCCTATATCTCCCCTTTTTAACCCCTATTAGGTGGCGATAATTAAGTGTAACCCTTCCCTATGAAGTTGCCCAGTAAAAGCCACTTGGGGATTTTCTTCCAAATGCCACGTTTTGGAACCGGCCGGCAAGTCACCTATTACAGGTTTTCCAGGATGAGGAGAGCAAGGGGCGGTGAAGCTTCTACCCAGCCGTTTTTTAAGATCCCCAAATCAAGGGCAACATTGATATCTCCGGTGCTGGGAGCATCTCTCACCCTCAATCCCCTGCAACCCCAAGATTTCCCTGTACATTTAAATTATTTACTGCAATGAAGTGGTTCAGGTTGGAAATTTTGATCTAAGATAATTCCTTTTTAAAAACAGACAAACCTGCCCCCCCACACAAGAAAGGTGGTTCACAAGGGCTATGACACCGCCATCATCCCAAGGGATTTCTGATCTAGTGAAAGGATAGGAATCCCCAGATTTGTCACAGCACACAGAAGCGACACGCACGCACGCACGCACGCACGCACGCACAAGCACACGCACACACACACACACACGTTCGTTGCATGTAGATGAAAAGAAAAAGGGTGCGTGCCTGGATTATTGCACATCATTGGCACTGGGTTCCTATTTTTGATAAAGCCGCACGTAGATGAAAAGGAAAACGGTGCGTGCCTGGATTATTGCACATCAGTGGCACTGGGTTCCTATTTTTGATAAAGCCATTTATGGGCCGGTGCCGACTCTTCCTTTACTGGGAAGCCACTTTCCTGGGATGAGGATGATAGCCTTAGCCCCACACCCCTCACTCAGACCCAAGAAGGATTCGGAGAGTGTGGAGGGACTAAAGAGAAGGAATGTTGACACAGCCATGGAGGAAACAGACCGAAAGAAAAGGCTGCCCCGGAGGAGATGAGGTTGGAAGGGGAGTGCGGGGGGGGAGGGAGGCATTTTAAGGACTAGAACGGCATCCTTTTCAGCTCGTAAAGGCGAAGCATTCCTGCCACCGGTCATGACCATGAACGCCTGAATACGAAGCACGTGGTGCCAATTGAGTCTTGCCCAGAAAGCTCTGCCTTTGTCGTAAAATTAATCCCTTCTGATATAAAACGAATGAAGCAAAGCCTGTAGTAGCAAAACTCGGGCTTCGACCATCTTGACCCCTCTCAGCCTGTTTGCCATCCCAGCTCATCCTTCCGTATTTTTTTTTTTCGTTTTAAAGTATGTCACTTAGAAACCAAGCTCACTGAATGACAACGGGGCTCTGAACCCTAGCTCAAAAAGCCGCAGTAAAGTGTGTGGTGGGCTTTGGTGAGAAGATTCTTGTCCTATCATCCTCATTGCACACACCCCCCGCCGCCGCCGCCGCTGCGCTTCTCTTCCCCTCTAACCAGGAAATAGAATCCTTGGAAAGTTTAAGGAAAGCTCTGGCATGCCAGAGAATCTAATCCATATTTTCTCCAGGAAGGTGTATATAACAAAGCGATGAATCGGCAAGGTAATTTCGCTCTACGGTCTACCCCTCTAAGTAAGAGCTGCTGATAAAGGAAACTTACATGGGGTGGAAGTCCCTGGGAAAACAGGAGAACTGGATAGAAATTACCCTACAGCCCCATAAGGCAAATCTGCTGTTCAAGCCCCCCCCTCCTTCCTTCCCTCCCTCCCTCCCTCTGTGTGAGTGTGCGAGTCTGTGAGAGAGAGATTGAGAGAGAGCGTGTGTAGAGTGGAATAAAGCAGCACACCCCATAAATGTTCACAGTTGGCAGCTTCTGCCTATGAAAAATCAGGAATGAAAATAAAGTCTATGCATGTGTGTGCGTGCGGTAGTAGGGACAGACATACACTCTCTCGAGCGTGCACGCACGCACGCACGCACACGCGCACACACACACACACACACACGGGTGATTCTTGACTCTGGAAGCCTAGCTGTCATTTTTTTAATTCTTTAATTCAATGTCTAACCAAATGTAAGCAACATTAAAAGGAAGGAAAGGCATTCTACTCCATTTCGAAAGCGGCAACCATTAAAGAAGGCGCTAACGTTAGACTATATCTCAGGAGGGGAAGGGAGAGGAGGGGAGAGCTATTAATAGCTTAATTAGCTCCAAGGGGCTGCCACTATAGTTAATATATAAAAAAGTAGGCATCCCCCGCCCCTGAACCATCAACTCGATCATCAATAAACACAACAGTATAATAAGCAGCACAAAGACTCCTTCTGAGGAGTTGCTATGAAAAGCAAATTGAAAATATTTTTAAGCATTCTATTGCAGAGGTGCGGGAGACGAAGGGGGAAAGGAAAGGCCCATCTAGACAGCCTGCTGCTTCAACTAGGATTGGAGAGACAGCCTCTGAAAAACTTCCTTTATGGCTAAATAACATGACGAGCAAGGCAAACGCTTTCAGAATGTGCTTGTTTGATTAAGAGGGGGAGGTATTGACATTTTGCAGCCCAAGCCTCTGCGTGTTTACTCAAAAGTAATCCCACGGAGTGCAGTAGGGCTTTCTTCCCGAAGAGATGTGTAGAGCCTTGCAGCTCATGAAGGGGATCTCCACGGGCGGCGTGGACGCCTCCACCAATGAGAGCGTCTGGAAGCCAGCATCTCTCGTCGCACCCCACCCCACCTCACTTCTTCATAAAATTATATTTAAGTAGCACCAAGATCCCCTAAATTCCTAAGGGGGGGGTTCATCCAGCTGTCTCCGTGTGTGTAAGTGAGCGCGCGCACGCACACAGAGCCCTCCTATATTTTCCCTCTTCCCCTCTCTGTGCACATACCCGCATACAAGCATTGCCCGTTCTCTCTCTCTCTCTCTCTCATCCACTTCACACATCCACCCTAAATCTGAGATATTCATGGTTACACATCCATATATCCGGCTAACCTCTGTTTTAGAAGTGGTGAACCCAGTTCTTCGTCAAACTTCTCTCGAAAATAAAGGCTGACAAATAAAACACCGGCTCGCCACTCTCCATCAGAATGGTTACAGCTGATTTAAGACGAACGCCACATCCACTTAAGCTTATACTTCAGAGGATGAAAAATCCCAACGCACTAAGCTGGTCATAGGCTAGAGGAAGAGCGTCTTCACTTGCCTGCCGGGCGGCTGCCTAGCCAAGCCGAGGAGAAGTCAGCCGAAGACGAAGCACTGAGTGGAAAACGGTTTACCTGGGAACGCTTGGAGCAGGCCAAACGGACAGTCTTGCCGGGAACTCAACGCGGCCATTCAGAATCTCCTCAGCATCGGCTGAGGCCATCCTGGTTTGTCATAGGAACCCATGCTGATGGACGAAGGGGTCTGGACTCACGGCTGGGCTCCCCCAAAGGTCCAGGAGAGGAAAAGGGCATCCTTTCTTCACATTCTTTCTCTAAACCAAACACACAGAGAGACACACAAACACACCCGCCTTCTCCTTAGCTTTTGAAAAGGATACTGAATTGGTTTTGTTTTTAAAGAGAGAGGGGAAAAATAAGACTCTAAACCAGGTAGGCGTCCCAGGGCCATCAGCTGGGATGAAGGCTTAGAGAATCTTTGTGATTACCCAATACGGACTTGTCTGAACTTTTAAAAGAAAGAAAGGGCTTGTTCTCTCAGGAGGAGTCTTTTCTTTTTCATTCGTCGGTTCTGAAACCAGATCTTCACCTGCTGATCGCTCAGGTTTAACCGATCTGAAAGCTCCCTCCTTCTTTGGCGAGTAATGAATTCATTGACCATAAACTCCCCTTCCAGCTCCGCTAGCTGCAGTTTAGAATAAGGTTTTCGCTTTTTCCGGGACCTTGTGTGCATCGGGTACCAGGGAGCACCTAAGAACAGCGTGATGGAAATGAGATTTAACGCACAGGGAGAGAAACAGAGATCAGGAAAGAGGGACATTGTTTCAAAAGCGAGTATGAGTACCGTTCTCCCTTCCACCCACCTTTTAATGACTCTTTGCAAATATGAAGCTCACGTTTCTGTACAGGAGGCAGCAGATGCTCTAGTGTAGAGAGGGAGAAGCGGAGGTGTACTTGGCGGGATGGGGATCCCTACATCTGCATTTCAGATTGGAAGACCCAGGACTTCTAGGTCAGGCATACCACCTAAGCCATCCTCGGAACGGCTAGGATCCGAGGGGGAGTTAGAAAATATGGCTCGCATTTCCCCTAGTACACCGACTGACATATAAACCCTGCTAAGCCAACCAGTGGGCTTTTTTGGAGAAAGCGTTAAAGAAAAGGAAGGGAAAGGAAAATACTATACTTCAGTCTGGCGGTTCAAATCAGGTCATCTAAAACATTCCAGAGGTATCCAAAGGCTTAAAGTAATGCCTACGGGCAATCTGGCAATTAAAATACCAAATGCATTAGTGCGGACTGGAAGTGGGAGGTGGAAACCTGAAGTGTGGGGAAAAAGGGATCTCCAACCTACCTTCCCAAAGATAGATTCTGCGGAGGGAGAAGAAGGGGCCATGACCATTCCAGAGGCACTTTTGGCCCTGGTTCCCTGGTCTGGCATTTAAAGGGAAACTCATTAAAAAGATCATTTCTCTTTCTCTCAAACGGTGCTTCCGTTTAAGGGTAGAGATACACGTATTTATGGCGCCTCGGAGCTTGGATGATGGGGAGAAGAGCAAATGGCTTTGAAAGCCAGCTTTCCTCGGAGGACTGGCCACCGTGTGCCTCCAGATTTTCGCCCGTGATGCCCATTCGAATTGGACACAGACAGCTTTCCGAAAAGGTCCCCTTCAAAGCTGAGTCTGCCTCCTCCTTTTCAGCGAGGGCTCTAACATCATACTTCAGCGAAAACATATTTTTCCTATTACTATTAAGAATAATAATAATCCAACAACAACCACAACATTCACATTTAACATTTCTATTGGCAAAAGCCCTTCTCGCAGCGAGCGGCAAATAAAGAGTTTTGAAGGCAGCAGGAGGATTAGACGGAGTGGGAAACAGGGTGGGGTGCGGGGGTGAGAAGAGAAAGAGAGAGAGTCACAACCACCGAAACTCTGTCTGTCTGTCTGTCCCGGCCATCTCGGGATCTTTTATGGGATATTTACATGTTTATAGGCTTTTCTTTTAAAAGAAGCATCACCTAATAAAGCGCGAGGCATTTGAGTGCTACCCCTAGCGGCCTCGGCACAAATAGACAGGCTTCCAGCTCAGCTGCTAATTTCATGGAATTTATAACAGCGAAGAGTCGCTAGCGGAGTTTTCGAGCGAGTTAGCCAGGCAGCCAGTGTGCGAGAAGGAGAAGGGGGAGAGAGAGAGAGAGAGGGAGAGAGAGAGAAAGGAGAAAACAGGACCAACAAAACAAAAATAAATAAAGAAGGCATTGCATACATTCGCACTTTCCCCCTTCTTTTTGTTCTTCTCTTAATTATTATTATTATTATTTTTCCTCCCCCTTGTCGCACGTTCTTTCTTACCCCCACTGGAAAGACTGCTTCCTTGGTTGATAGGGGACACCATTGTGGTCGGCTCGCTCGTGGCGCCCTTATTCCCTTCATTGAGTAAGGAGGAGCTGGAATCAGACTCCAAAGACTGACAGGAAGGGGGATCGTGGGGCACCGCCTCAGTAGCCGGATAGTCAAATTTGCCGAAAGTGCCGCTCATTCCATTGGGGATCCCCGACTCGAGGGGCATCAAAGCATTGTCCCTAACCCTCTCTTCCCTTTTGAGGGGCGCGTTCTCCGAGCACGCCTCTCTATAGTAGCACTTGCTCTCTTCCACTCTAGCTAGGTCGCAGGCTCGGCTGAAGGAAGGGTTAATGGACACGGGGCTGCTGAGATAGGGCTGGGGATATCCGTTGCACGGCTCTGAGGAAGCCCAGGGTAAAGAACAGACATTGTCCCTTCTTGGGTAGGAGAGAGACGGTAAGCCGGGTAGCTGTCCTCCGGAGGCTCGGAAATTGGGGAAATAGAAGGTGTCTCCCGTATGGATGTTCACCAACGGTCCCACAAACCCAGGATTAAGGAGATTATGTTCGCCCATTTCCGCGGGCCTGACCAAGAGCTTCTAGTTTATTGCTATCTGACATTAAACATAGTTAAACCTAAAGGTCCACCCTATTGGTCCGGAGGGGTCACGTGAGCGCCAACTTGCGTTGGAGGAAAGGGTGCCACCCACCTTTAGCAATTTGAGACAAAACAAAACATTAAGTTCTGCCTTTCGTTTTTTATAAGCTCTTTTTTAAAAAAATAAAAAAATCATAAACCATTTTATAAAATAAAACAACGGGCTTTAAGCACTGGCCTGAGAAACCCAAAGTATTGTAAAATACATGTACATACATTCCCACCCACCCACCCCCAAAAAAGAAATGACACCCGTCTCCCCCAGCGGCGTTAAGGGTCCCTTCAACAGCTGGCAAAATTAAGCAATTTTCTCATTAATTAGCTCCTTTATTAACTAAAACAGTTGAAATTTACAATATCTCCCAATAAATTACTATTAGATATTGTGTCATATAAAGTTTACAGGCTCTTTAAGGAGACAAACGAGCCTAACCGCAACAGGCTCATACTTACAGACGAGAGGGCGGAAGAGTTTTAAAATCGCTCCAACCCTTCCACCTTTCCCAGAGGTAGGTAGCTTCTCTTCGCCAGTCTAAAGTCTTACGCATTTATTTTAAAACAAGCAGACACAAAGCAAGTGATAAGTACTGTCCGAAATAGGACGGCGTTCAAGGGATTTTCCCCCTCCCCCATAAAAATGCGGATATATTATTCTTCGTTCATTCCCGCTGGCTTTTTCACTGAAAGGCTCTGCTTTATGGAATGAAATCTTTAGACAAAGGAAATTGGGACAACACCCCCTCCTCCTCTTGTCTCACCTGTCGTAAGTATTGCACCCATTGAAAGTTATTTGAATCCTGTTTTGTTTTGTTTTTAAAGCAGCGCTGATTAAGACGGCGGTTGGGGTGGGGGGGGGGAGAGGAGGTGATCCCTGCAGGGCTCGGTCCTGCCGAAAAGGCGACCGCTGAGGGCGGATCCTGTCTCAGAGCCCTAGATTTGAGAAAGGAACCTTAAAAGTCAATCCTGATTTAAGGACAATCAATCTTGGTTATTTCAGAGAACAAAGGAGAGTGGCCTTATCTTGGACGGGGGGGGGGGTCTCTCGCCTCCGTTTCTTCCTACCTCCCCCGGAAAAAGAAGGAGGAGGATGAATAAGAACGACTGAGGAATTTTCTCCGCGACCAACTTCCAAGACTCCTGGACTCCGCAGACAAAATTACCGTAAATACTCATGTATAGGTAAAAACTGATTTGTGGGAGGGCTCCTCAAAGCAATCCACCCCCACCCACCCCGCTCGCTACATCCCGCAGTAAATAAACAAGCCAAAAGGACAAATAAAAAGCGATATGTCTTTTTTTTTAAAGAAGTCCTATTATGATGGGCAGAAATCCAAGATTTTGAAATTCCCCGAAATATATTATGCTGGGCTTCCTTTACATTAATGCCTACTCCCCTTCTCCCGACACGCTTGGTCCTTTAGTTTCCCCCAGCTATGTAGGAAGGGGGGGGAATCACGTGTTAATCAAATAAACACTTTTATTTCCTAGTTCTATTAAAGGGCCAGCTTCCCGAGAAGTTCCCATTCCTTCTCCACGTGTCTTTCATACACCTATGTGTAAGTAGACATCCTTCCTAGGACATACCTTGAAGTAAGAACTCTGTCTCCAGCTGAAAACTGTCAGTCCGTCCATATGTAAGGTTAGTACATTTTTAACCTCTTCAGGTGGAACACAGCAGTTCCTGGTACCTTGCAATTTAAACGAATATATTTTGCATCTGTTAAGCCTTTTAAATAAACAAAAAACCACGGAATAAGCAGTTGTATAGCCTGGTTTGTAGATGATTTAAACCGCATACGTATTTGGATATTTTTAAAAAATATTTATTTTATCGGTGTGACATTCTCTGTAAGATTTTATGCCTTTAGAGAGGCTCCATGGCTTTCTCCTCTTATCAATAGTTTGATATTAGTAGTATGAGAAGAGTAACCTCCGCTTCTCAGAGGTCTCCAGGAGATATTTTAATCCTCTTTACATATACTGTATATAGTCAACAATATCAGGGAGGGGGAAAAGAAATATATCCTAATAGCAGACACGCAGCTTCCCACCCAAGACCACCATTCCGTATTACAGAAATATTTTTTCTCCTCTCAAGAAAAGAGAAGAACAGCAAACCCGCCCATCTTTGAGTTATTGTGAACAGCAATTTTCTAAAACACCTTTTCACTTAAAAAAAAAATGTGGGCTATGATTTGTGATCGATGGTTCCTCTGCTCCTTCTGTAATACTAACACCCCTTAGACCTTTACAGACTCATTGATTTTTTTGAGAGTTAAGGCGCTGAAGCTGCTTAAGTTTGCAATTCAGATGGTCAGAGAAGCGGCTAGGCATCATCAATATATTTTTGGGTGAACCCAACTCTATATTTATTATTATTATTATTAGGATTTTTATTGTCATTTATCTCATCGTTATCATGTTCCTTCTTGTACCCTTTACAGTGACTCACACTGAAATAATTATGATAGGTTCAGAGAAAGGAGGGAAGGAAGAAAAGAGACAGAAGACAAAAGAAACAGAGAAAGGGTAAATTCTTCGTTCATGAGAGGAATGATTGTTAAAAGTGATGCCAATTTTGCGGAAAAATCTGATGTGATTAAAGGAAAAAATGGAGAGGAGAGGGGATCCATCCCACTTATTCAGTCTTGCAAGAGTATGTAATTACTTTACTGAAGTCCTTAAAATAAAACATTCTTACTACTGGGCTAAGGCTTTCTCATGAATAATGGATTTTACGAATATAAACAAGGCGTAACGGTGGAATACTTGCTGTTTATCAAAGGAATATATGTAACACGCTCCGTTTTCTTTGTGGAAAATTCAGAGACAATATTGCATGGCCTGTATTTGGACTTCATTTTTGTTTACTCTTTATTCATTTATTCTATTTTGCCTTCCCACCAAAGTTCCCATGAACCAAAGCCACCGGCAGCGGAGAAGAAGATAACGATCACCACAGCAGGCCTGAAATCTATTAGGAAGGCAAAATGTAGAGCAAAGGAGGGGGACGGTTTCAAAATACTCTTATCACGCGGGTGTGGGGAAGAATCCGTCCTGGAGTCAAAGAGACCTAGATCTTCCTACGGATCCCAGGGAACGCTCTGTTGAGAAGAATTCCTGTGAAAAAAAAAGGGGCGCGCTGAGAAAGTCTGATCCGAGCTGAGAAGTCTCTTTAGCCAGTTCAAGGTCACTGTCTAGTGTATTAAATGGGTTCTACATCTTATGCAAATGACTGTCTTGAAAGAACACCAGCTATTGCGGAGAGAGAAAGCCACTCATTTGGAGGAGACAGGGTCGGGATGGGGGTCGGAGGGGGGGGGAAGAGCTCACCCTTACACCTCGGATTCTTTCCTAAAAAAGCTTTGTTCAAATATTACCTTCAGCAATTCTAAGATCTGCAGCAAAGCACGTTAACTCCCCTCCCCACGTTTTATGCCCCTTTATGCGCTCAACTCCACAGTATTTTTTTTCTTTAATTTAATCAGCCGCTTCTAGCGACGCTTCACCATCTCATTGTCTTGTGTTTCTTAAATCACAAGCAGAAACAGCAACAAAACTTAAAATAAAGTCGGCCTGTGGGTGATTCCACATAACTTTATTAAAGCATCGCTTTAAAACACACACACTTACGAAAACCTTTCAGTGTAAGACAAGAAAATACAAAGGAATTTGTCCTTCTTCTGGAAAATTCCTTTCCACAACATTTTTTTAAAAAAGTGAAGTGCATTCTGTTCCTTTCCCCACTCTCCATTTTAACACCCCATTGTCATCGTCTCAAATGTTTCTTTTATAAATATGTTACCAGGCAAAACAAAAACCTGCCTGCCTCCTTTAATTGAGCGGCTTCATTCCTTCAATGTAAATTCAATTTTTTTAAAAAAATTAAAATCTGAGACCATCTATTAAGATTACATGCATTCCCCCCCCCCATTCTTGGGCATTGTCGTTTTGAGTTGAAAAGAAAATATTTAAAAATATATTTATTTAGTAGTTGAACTTATTCGATGTGAGCACAAAAGGCTGAGGAAATCATACAGCTTTTAATTACTTGAATGTTGTCGGCTGAATAACGGTGGACTGGATATTTCTTATGAGATGCGAAGGAGAGCAGAGAAGAAAGGGGGCACTCGGTGGAATATCTAAAGCAAAAGCCATTCAAGGGACTCTCATCCTTTTCAAAGAATTTTGGGTTGCAGGACTGGCCGGTGATGTCGCCCAGTCTGAAATGTTTTGCATGAACTTTGCAAAGAAATCAGAATGCAAGTGAAGAGATTCAGCCGAGAGATTCTCCTAGTATGCCCTTAAAGAGTTAAATCCATATGATGCAGCTACATTTTCCCCAACACTGCCAGCAGAGGCTATCATTCTCCTGCTGGATTATGTAAACCGGTGCCTGTATCTTTAGACATGCAAGACTAAAAAAAGAGAGGACATCTAGGCTCTTTCTTTTTCCTTTGTCTATACCGTTCGCATATAATGCTTGCCTGTATACGTTTCCGTGGTTGATTTTTGTTTGTTTGTTTTTTGCACAATACTCTTATACTGTATTACGATGGGAGAAGAAGAGGCAAATGGTTCGATCCTGCACACGTATATCAACGTTACCTCCAAGGGACTTAGTTCTGGTTAAAAAAAGTCTTTGAATCCTTACCTCCACAACCTTCTTTAGGATTAGTTGCAAAGAAAAATAATCAATAGGCATTTATCTCTTCTTTCACAAATAAATCACTGCTGAACCAGAGGGGAAAAAAGAGAGCAGAGCCTCCTGTACAAAATATTCTTTGGAAACTTTCCGGACATCCGGACTCCAAAGATAATAAATTTACATCAAAACCTTTAGGTGTGTAAAAGCTGCATATTTCAGCATCCTCTGATTTGTGTGTGAGTGTGTATTGCATCATCCTACTTTCCAAG